CAAATAGCAACGAGCAACGAGACCGACTGTGGAGCAATTACCAATGCCTGGCCATCTCCCAAGCCCTTCAACAGAATAGAATAGAATACACGATGCTGAGAGCAGAGTCAGGGCCAAGCAATTTCTAAAGTGCTCGATGTGCGAGTGTTAACCACATCACCAATAGTTTGGCCACAAACTTCAGTATTTCAATTAGAATTTAACTTACAAAATTTGTGGCCATTTTATTCAGCATATAAATGCATTTGTAGTCAACAATGCCATATCTAGATCTACATACATACATACATACATAGCATGTGTTCATGTAAAACGAATAGCAAAAGAGAAGGAAGAGAGACGACAGAAAATGAGAGATGAAGAGATACAGATTGACATTTTTTAAAAATTCACATTGGACATGGTTTAATTGGTAAATTTATAATAATACAAATATTAAATAAAATATCTACATGTGATATATAAAGAGGACAAAACTTTAAAAAAATACCCAACATTTTAGCAAACTATGAAGTTTACTTGAAAGACCAAATTCTTTACAAATAAATAACAAAGATCAATTTAATTTATATATTTTATATTTTTTGCATAATTAATTGTTCTTTGAACATAGATTATTGCGGCATTCATAAGAGGCGTCTAATTCGGTAAAAAAAAAACATGCTGTCGCATTATAATTTAGTGGAATTTATTTTCTAAGCCTCAGATATCAAATTAGAGAACAAAAGATGTTCAAATAATGTTTCCTTAAATTGTATTTCAACAAAATCTGATATATTCTATACAAAAATAAAAATGGCTTAACAACAAAGTGTTCCTAAACGAATGCAAACAGCTTTTGAGCTTCTAATCTGACTATTTGGCTCATTATATTCATACCAATTTAATAGTATAAATTAATATAATATAATAATTTATTTAATAGTATAAATAGTATAATTGAATAATTTAATTGTATTATTTAAAGTATTTCTAATTGCTGTGTAAGATCTCATTTTATTTAAATTAGACCATAACTTAAATGGAAATGGCGGAAAACATATACGAGTATGGTTAATTACCTGAGTTATTTAGCCCAAAACACTCTTCAGTTTACCTCAGATTCACTATTTGCCATAAATCTTAATTCTCATTTGAATATATAATAATAAAAGTCATGGACATGCATATTAATGAAGCCAAATTAAGTAAATATATGGCATTGCTTTCTACTTCTTCTTCTTCTACTAGGCTTCATTAAGTCTATTGTGTTTAGGCTTAGAAATCTGTGACAGACACTCACAAATGCCGTCAATGCCTGATTGATACATATCTGCTTTGTTCATATTCATGTTTATGGCAAATGACATTTGACTTATCTTGTTGCCATAAATGTTGATCGTTCTCTCTACCTCACTCTCTCCCTCTCTCTTTCTTCCTCTATTCATTTGGTTGACATATGCATTTAATGCATAATAGAGTAATTAAACGCATACAAAATGGATGAATAGATTTATTGCTCATTTGTATACTTTACTTAATAGCGAGCTAATCACTAAAGTATATGCACATATTCTGTTGATAGAGATAATCCGTCAACAAATATGTTAAATATTTAAAAAAAAAAAAGTGGCTAACTTCTGTTTTGCGTGCGACATCGTAGTTGAGTTTATTACGTATACGCAATGTTGTGCGCCACTTCCTCAACTATTTGTTGCATAAACATTTTATTTATGCCGCTCGAGTGCTATTTTCGCTCTAATAAGCATATATCTATTTGTATGTGGAACTTAACAAAATGTTTGGCATTGGCGTATGCGTAAAGATTTATTTTAAATGTCAATTTTCTAAAAGCGTTATTTGAAAGCATATTTCAAAAGGAGCATATAAACTGCTTTTGATTCTGAGCATTTTATTTTCGGAAAACTAGAATGAAATGAATGGTCGTTTTGATTATCTCGATTTATTACTAATACGCACTGGTGTCGTCTCAAAACAAAACCAATTCTTAACAATTCTTTAAATCAGACATCGAAACATGATAAGTGAACAATTCTTTAGACAACTCTATATCCACAACAAAGCGAAAAGATCTACCAATCATCTAGTATTATGTTCTTCATTTATTTTCCTCGAACCCTCGACACATTTTCATTTCAAAACAAGCTCCTACGTAAACGAATCACAAGACAGCTTTGCTATAAATACGTATATTATTGTGCATATTTGAGAAGGCGATTTTTTTATACTTTTTAGATTTAAGAACAAAATAAATTAATTGATAGAACAGAACGGTAATGAGTAGCAGCGTGAAGGCATCAAATTAATTAAATATTTTGATTCCATAGCCTCCAGGCGACCAGCGCTGCTTCAAATCGATTTGCAAAGCCAACATTGTGATTGTAAAAACGTTTTGCCAGAGTAAATTTGTTGTGGGACATGGAGTTCAACGTTTTATTAACATATTTTAGTTGCCTTAAAAAAAGCAGTTTGAACTTCTAAACAAGAAGTGGTCATATGTTGGCTAATGGAATAATATAATCTATGTTGGCCACCACACTAAACGCATTTAACTGGCAATCGTTCGTAAGTCCAAATGCTTGACAGCTGTGAGTGGAATGATCGAGACTTTGAATGAATATGCGATAATGTAATAATACAGAAGAAATTGTGGTTATACTTGTAATACAAAACAAAGAAGCAATTAGTGATTTATTTGAAAACAATAACAATGACAACTGCCAGACAAATCAGATACCCTTTACTATAACCTATCATGTTTTTACCTATCATCTTTACCGTTTTTTATTTTTTTCATCGCTGTAAGGCAAATCTCAATGCAATTAACTTTACGATACATCATCGGTGTGTATATGCGGCCCACATTCTTGACGACTGCCACCACAAAATATTATTTATTTTTTCAATTTTCGTCATTTATGGTCATCGATCACAAAATATTTATAGGAAAGAAGGTCCTTTTTTAATTAAAAAAAAGTTTGACACTTTCTCAAAATTGATTTATTTATAAAAGAGTTTAGACGGCATTTTCCAACACAGCCGCATGGGCGGCGCATTCTTAGTGAGAGGAAGAATTTGCTCTTTATTTCCAGAGACTTGGACTGCTATTTACTTATGAGTTTTATATTTATTGATATGTGGTATACTGCCGACCATGCTGTGTACGTAAACATCAACACATGCACACAAATATACATACAACCACCCACACAGACACACTCACACACATACACACTCACACACATACACACTCTCACTTGAACACACTTAGAGTTGTTGGGAAAAGTTTTTACTAGTTTTTGTGTTTGATGAGAAAATGCAAGTCAATTAATTACAGGCCAGCAAACAAACAAACCAACCGACCAACCGACCTACAAACAAACAAACAACGCCATAACTGTACTCTGAACGTGTGTAAGTGCCAGCCAACGTGTGAGTGTGTTGTGTTTGTTGTCCATTGTCGATGTCGTTGTCGTCGTCGTCGTCGTTGTCGTAAACATGTCTGTGTTTGTGGATGTGTGTGTGCTTTGCCAAAACTTTATTTAACATTTCGTGCTTGGCTGACTGGCATAGAAAACTAGCGTCTCATTATTGGCAACGACATTGGTCGCAATTTTATGGACATCGGGACGCCTACACTTATATACACACACTCACAAACAAATATCAAATGGAAATGCTTGCATTTTATTTTCAAGCTACATTTTTCGGTGAGAGACTACGAGATAAGCAATGGCTGCCATATGCCGAACACATTTTAGCGGAAGTAAGCGACAAGACTAAGTCACACACACACAATCGTTTGCTTGTACTTTGGGTCAATACATTGTGTACAGTGCTGGCCAAAAAAATAAATAAATGCAAACAGCTGATTCCCTATTAGTGACACTAACAATTCCAGTTTAACATAAATGCCGTATATCACAAATATTGTCGGAGTTTTCATTTCCAAATAGTTAATAGTTTAAAAAACTGTCCATTTTAAAAATTATAAAGTGAATTTTTGTGAATATTGAACATCAAATGCAAACTCTTTTCTTATTGTTTATTGAGCGAAACAAAAACTCTAGACTTCAGCACAGGCCTGAACAATTATTGCTAGAATATATTAATAATTAGTGATATGTATGTTTTATAAAACCAACAACTAATTTATTGAGTTTAAAACACAACCCATTCTACAAGCTTTTCAAATGAGAAGTTAAAGAATAAATTAAGGATTCTTTGTGATATGGTTTAAAAAGCTAAATTACTAGAGGCCATCTTTTTTTCCAAAATAATTTTTTGATATAAATTATTTATTATTTTAATATTGCTTTTTTATATGAAAATATTATTTATGCTTTCGCTGCATATTATACATATAATCAATGATGATACTATATATGAGTTTTAAGGACTTCACACATACATTTCTCTTTATGTTCAAAAGAGTATTATTTAATTCTTTTCATTTGGTAATGTTTACAAATATGTTAATAGTATTAAAGTTATCTTTATTTTGTTTTTGTAAGAAGTACTTAGCAACCAAAATTTGAAATACAATAATATATATATAGACATGTATATAGGTGAGAATTGGTATTTCAGCGGCTTCGTAATATCATTTACCAGTTAAAATAGACTTTGTCAGCTTCTAATACACATATATACTGGGTCTACCAGCCACTATTCCTGCACACACATACAAGTATCTGTAAATACAAGTGTGTGTTCGTATAGGTACATACCCGAGTACGAGTATTGTATGTGGAAAGACAAACGTTTGCATAAATAAGCGCTTAAATGAGCGGCTAATGAGGTCAAACGGGCAACGGCATGTTTTATGGACGCCACTTACCCAAAGTTTCAATATTCTTCAAATGGGCCAAGCATTTGCTTTCAATTGTTTTTGCCACTATATGTATGTATATGTGTGTGGGTGTGGGTGTGTGAGTGTGTGATGACTGCTGATAAGGGTCAAATGGGTGTTATACTATTCTAGCTTGCTTTTCACTTACCATAAACGGCTTCGCCAACAATTAGCAACATTAGTAGCCAGCAACTGAGACTGCCACTGCGACTGATGCTGAGACTGAGGCTGAGGCTGGGCCCAAGGCCAGGAGGAACGCTGCTGTTGTTGTCGCTATTACTGTTACTATTGTTGTTGTTGTTGTTATTGTTTTTACTGCTACTGCTGCTGCTGCTGCTACCTCTACTGCTGAACATCATCATTTGATTTGTGCCTGCGGCTGCGGCAGTCTTGTGGTCTCTGTCTTATGTGTGTTGCCACAACGCAGCCGCCGGCAGCTGTTGTTGGTCAAACACCTGCACAGGTGTGTGTGTGTGTGTCAATGTATTTGTGAGTGAGTGTGTGACTGTGTTCCACACTCTACTGCTATGACTACGGATGCCGTTGCTTGTCTATGCAATTTATGCGCACGTTGCTTTGGCGCCTGATTAAGGCAACGGCATTGGCATTTGTCCTTATTACCACTGTTGTGGTTGCTGTTGCTGCTTCTTCTTCTTCTTCTTCGTCTTCTACTCCCGCTCGCGCTCCTGCTTGCTCTCATGCGCCCTGGCTGTTGTCACACCTGCGCGAGGCCCAAAGGCGCTGACACGCCACTGCCGTTGTCCTTGCCGTGGTCCTTGCCGACGCCAACTGCACGTGTCTGTAAAAATCACAAATGTGAAAAGCAAATGAGAACTTTTGGCATAAAACGAGCAACTATAGTATAGTATGTGTGTATGTAGCTATGTATGTGTGCACTTGTTTGTTTGTTAGCAACACACACACAGAGAGAGAGAGAGAGAGAGAGAGAGAGAGAGAGATACACATAGAAATCTATCAGTTGTAACATCTATACAGTTTTACTTCAGCACAACGATTGCTCTTTTCGAATTCGAAAATTAAAAAGTCTTCATTGAATTATTAGACCAAATGTTTGGTATCATTGAAGCTTTAATTATTTGGAAAAATACTTTAATCTCTAAGCATTAATCTAACTATAAGCCACCAATTCAGCGCTTCAAGCAGCTAAATTCGAGGGACCTCTAGAATTTACTTGTATATGATTCTACTCTCTACTACAATAAGAAGATCTTGCTTACTTATTAAAACTCAATAAGAGGGATATTATTATTGCACTCTAAATACAATTATAGTTTTTTTTTTTGAAATATTGTTTTTCAGTTTCTGAATAATATTAATTAGCGAGTTTTCAGTTTTAGATTACAGTCTGATAAATATAAAAGTCCAATTGAAAAACGTATAGTACTCTTCTAATTATCAGCTACAAAAAAGATTCTAAGCGAAATCAGACAATGCATTTCATTTTCACAGATCATTGGATCTGATCGTGTGGGTGGGATCATTATACAAGTATATATTTTTGTATGAAAATGGAAAATCTTATTCTGTATGACTCTTCTTACTCGTGGTACACATATTAACCCAGTTTTCCAGCCTGCCTGTGATCTAAATAAGAAGCTCTTTCTAACAAGAACCATACTAGTTTGCTGTAAATAGCTGCATCTGTGTTGACTAACATAGTTACAAGCTGGTAACATGATTTTAGTTTTGTCAGCAACACACCCACACTCCCACTTGGTCCATCCCCATTTGGCCCATCAAAGCAAAACCACTCGGCTCTGCTGGCCCACTTAGTAGTTGTGTTGATTTGAAAAAAAAAAAATAACAGAAAGAAAAAAAACAGACTCGTTGCTTGTGGCACTGTTGAGGCATGACCCAATTGAATTGTTACGCTTAGGCTAATAAAATTTTATGTGCGGCTATTATTAGGCTCGTGTCCTGTTCCTCAAACAAACAACAGCGAGTTCCGACGCTGTCGTCGAGCAGTGCAACAACAAAAACACACCTTGCCACTTACTTGCTGTCAACACCAACAACATTTACCCCAGCACTCGCATCCATACACATCCACATCCACATAAACCCACAGACTCACAGGCATGAAAATTTGTATTGTACTTGCTGGTGTTTCCTTTTTTCTTTTTTTTCTTTGCGAAGTTCGCTTGACTTTTATTTTTGGCTTTTGAGGCGAAACTAATTTATTTCCTGTATTGATTTTAGTCCTGACGGCAGGCAAGAAGCGAGAGTCGCAGCATTGGCGGCATCATTGAAATTTATTCATAACTTCTTTGAACGCCGCTTGACGCATGCTTTGAAATAAGATGGAGAGAGAGGAGGAGAGGGAGAGAGTTGCTTTGATTGCGCCTTTATGTGTGATTGTGTCCTTTTCTTGTTACTGTTGTGTTTCTATCTTTCTGTTGTTGCTGGTGTGTGTGTGTGTCTGTCTAGATGTTTTTCGCATTTTTGCGGCTCAGTTGTGTCATGTGCTTAGAGCACAATCGGCTATATATATATATATACATATATATTGTTCGCACTTTTGTTTCTCAATACTTAAGCCAAAAACAAAACTGGACGAATCATTGCCATATTTGCAGCTCGTTAGCGTGAAAACATTGGACGCTCAAATAATTTGCATATAGCCAGCCAGCCAGCCAGTCTGTTAGTGACAAAACAAGCGGATAATCAATTCGGCGACTGTTTCTAGTTCTGACTGCGAAATTTTCGACAGCAATGATTGAAAAAAGTGCTTAGCATCCTTATGCCTATATGTGTATCATTTCCAATGTAAAGGAAGTAGAAGTAAGTTTCTGTCCCAACTTGTTTACTAATTACAGCAATATAGTATTTTTTCCCAAATAACAATAGCTAGTCCTTGAATGGCAAGGCGGTATACAAAGCACATTAATTTCTAATAAAAAGTGATTGTTCTGAATCGCCGGAAGTGCGGATATTATATCCTGATTCAAATTACCAAAGTTCCATCGAAATTTCCGGTTATTTATTTATTAAATATTGACGCCGGAGCCATCGTATGCACAAAATATTATTCCTAACACTTTTATATCATCCTTAAACTCCATACAAAACTGTTGCTTACCGCCATAGATATTTTATTTTTAAGTCTTTTGTAATTAATTTTTAATTATGGAGTAAGTATTTAAAACGGCAAGCTTGCAATTTATACATATATACTCGTATAGTATTAGGCCTGCTGTATTGACAATCAGTTTGGAGAGCGTTTTGTTAATCAGTCAGCCGATTACTGAATAAAATATTTTAATATAAATAAAAAAACAACCTATTACTGTGCTGCCAAACTTCGCCCAAGCGTTATGCTCCCAGTTGTTTGGTCTGCTCTTTTCATAGCGTTTAAATGGCTGCTGTTGTAGAATTGTGGCATGTTGCATTCATTTCATTGTGCAACATTCTTTCGTACATCATCTATCTACTCATGCATATTTTTTTAAGCGCATACTTTTGTAAATTTATAAATAAATGTGCATTTAGAAATTCCATTTGTAAATGGCATTAAGACAATATTTATAAATTATTTGTAAAATTCAGAATGAACTTCCAAATGCTTTACAGAAAAATGTTATTCAAATACATGTGTGAGAAGCCTTAAAAGCCAAACAAAAACAAAACTGAATAAACAATTGATAATAAACATAGACATAGATGTAATTTTGACAAAAATTCGCAATTTCCCATTCAGATAGCGGCAAATAAATTGGCCAAAAACAGAAAGCATAAGCACCTCAATAAATTATCAGGCAATGCATTTTTATTATGCTTTGTTTCTCAATATTGTGAACGTGTTTCGCTGTGCGTTTTTGTTATTGTTATTGTTTTAGCCTCCTGTTGTGCCGCGCATACACACATACACGCACTCACACACACACACACACACACACACCCATCTATAAACATCTATATGACCACAAACTCGCACACGTATTTGCCATAATTTAGCATATGCAGCCCGAGAAGCTGCCCCCTAAAGCCATACCAACAATAATTTGCAATACAATGCCGCACAAATGTCAAGCTCTTGGCTTTGTCGTCGATGCCGCTGCTGCTGCTGCTGCTGCTGTCGGCGTCGATGCTGACGTTGTTGTCGCAACTGCCATAAAGTGTCGTAAAGTGCATTACAGCGCACTCTGCACAACAACTGTACCAATAGAAACAACAGCAATGAGAACAGAAGCAGAAACAAATACAAGTACAACAGCAGGAAGCAGACAGAGGAACGTTTCGAACAGAAACTAGAAAGAAATGTTTACCATAAATATCTGCGCATTTGAATGTCTGTGGCTGTGGCTGTCTCTGCGTGTGTGTGTGGCTGTGTGTGTGCGTATGTATGCATGCATGTTTGCTAGACAGACATCCATGCGCCCACAAGCACAACCAACACCTTGGCAGAAAGCGTCGCAGACGCTCTGCCGCTGCCATAACACATACTTTATGTCCTTTCTGATTGTTTATTAGTGCGGCAGAAAAGGCACAGTGGGTCGACTGTCATTTCATTCGAGCAATATTATCTCAAGTGACATCATTCCAACAAACTTGGTAGTGCTTCTACTTTTAAATTAAATTGCCATTCAATCTGCAAAATATTTCCCATAGCCTAGTTTTATTTTCCCCATTATATAAGCAGAATAATTCCATTTTAAGCCTAGTTGCATACATTTTTCATATTTCATCCAAAAAACAGATATTTTCCAAATATATTTTATGCAAACTATTGTTTGTGAGCCTTTTTATTTATTTATTTTTTCACTCATTATTATCAATATATATTGAAAGTACCTTTTTTTATATCAAAAAGTCTGGGCTAATTACTCAAAAAGGCAAAATGTATTTTAACTATGAAAATATGATTAAAATGAACTCTTAAAAATGACCAACCAACTAACAAAATAGGACCGCAAAATACAAACCCGACTTCTAAATGTAATTTAAGAATACGTCAATACTTAAATCCTAAATAAATTGAATAATTTTTGTTGTAGCTTTTCTTTGAATATCAATTTAAAAACAAATATTCCCTCTTAAATATTTGGAAATGCTCTACAAATAATAGGAAAATATAATGTATATCCTTTTGCGCTCTCAGTTTTTCTATTTTTCTCTCTGCAGCCTTCATTTTACGGAACCTCGTGCCTTATTAATTACTTAGAAAATAATGTTATTTGCTCACTGTGCTTCAGTGGCAGCAACAGCAACAATACTATAAAAACAAAAAAAAAACGAAGCAGAGGCATGCGACTCAGACAAAGACGTTACAGACAGCACACACGAGGGCAACATTCGGAGCGGGCCAGTGGAGGACCCAACATGGCATTTAAATGCCTTGAACATTTATTGGCGTGTTTTACGCGCCATAAACTGAAATTCATAAACATTTTATGCATCACATACATACCTATAATACAGACACACTCAAGCATATGCTTATATCTGTATGTGTAACATATATACATACATACATGCATGTTTGTGTCCGTGTAGAGCGAGCTGTAAGTGTCTTCTCGATGGCTGCAAGCGGCAAATGCAGCTGCATTGCTCGCATATATGAGCCTACTTACACCTACGGGCCATTTTGTTTGGCAATGCG